AATAAAACAAAAACTAAAGTGGAGCTGTGGCTCGCGGACACTGCAGAAGATGATTATATGAGTTGGTCACTTACGTGGTTTAACAGTTCCAGAGGTCTTACTGGAAGCCGATCCTGGTCAGGGATTCAGAACAGACAGGAACAGACAGAACAGGATCGAGATCAGGTTGGAACAGACAGGTGGCAGGATCCAGGCTTCCAGGCATCATAGAGCTCCCAGGAGGGTTCAGAGTCTGACTGGGACTGGAAGCATTACCAGGCGGTCACATAGGAGCAGACAGGAGCAGGTGCAGACAGGCAGGCTCAGTGGCAGAGGGTAGCAGAGACAGGACGTGGAACCAGAACTTGATGCAGGACCTTTAAACTGGTCTCCTCCTTGGAGCCAGGCTTACTGAGATAAAGACTGAACCTCCCCACATATAGAGCCAAAAACCCAGTGGACTCGGTGGGGGAGGAACAGTGGACAATCAGGAGACGAGACAGACAAAAAAAACCTCTTTCCACTGGCTGCCAGGATCCAGGACAAGAACCTTGAAATAAAACAGACTAAACAGAACGACTGAATGAAAACAAATAATGATCTGGCCCTGAATGCTCACACTGAACAGAATATAAAATCAAGGAAACAGGGGAGAGGAATAAATTATAATTGAGGCAGGGAGGGAAAAGGGCAGGTGAAAGAAATTAAGGAGCAAACAGGCCAGATCATGACAAATACTGCAATATTCAATTTTCCCTTTGGGATTAAAAAAGCTACAAATGCACACCCCACCTTGATGTTTTATAAAGTGAACTGTAAATGCTGTCTGCGGAACAGAAACTGACTCAACCAGAAAATACCAACAATAGTTAAACATTTTCAGAATAAGAGTCTTATAGTCAACAACTTTAGTTGAAATATTTCTCTAGAAAATAAAATGGACAAATATCTAGGCTCTTATGGATGTTACACATTATTATGTGACTCGAATCAAAACTTTCATAGAAAGTAACAATTACACTTGTTTGCAGTTTTTGCAAAAAACAACAAGATGGTGTTATTACTGATTGAGGCCACTCCTCTGTTTTAAAAGCTAATTTCTGTGTCATGTAAAACAAATACATGCAGAATAGTGATGGCTAAAATATACAAAAAGAAAAAGAAAAGAAATTATACTCAGTGATTCATAACATGGTGGGGAGCTTGAATTTGCTATGTCCTACATGTTTGAATCTTTAGAAACATTTCAGCCAAATAAAGCAAAGCTACTCTATAAGCAGAGTAAACTGGTGGACCTGCTGTGAACCTATGATTCATGATGCTTTCTAATGGATTGGAGTAAAGTTTTCCTCCTTAACTCATTGCTCTGTTGTTGTTGTTTTTTTCCCCCAGACTTTTTGCCAAGGGTTTAATTAAAACTTTTGGATCACTTGTGAATATGCTGTTTTTTTTTTTTTTTCACTGCACTGCACTTGTAAATGCAGCAGGTTGGAGATAAGCCCAACATGAGGCTGAGGAGCTGTTGGGGGTTTAGGATTTTTGGGGGGTAGTGAAGAGGGGGTGGGCTTAGGCATTTCTCATTTTGTTAAGCTTCCAAAGAGGCCTCTGCCAACCAGATAGCTGCTAGATAAGCTCCCCCGCTCTCAGTGGGGTGGGGGCATTGCTGGTCGACTTGTAGGCGAGACGCTCCATTGATCCCAGAACTTCTCATAATAATCCTGGACTGGACTTTAAGTTTGGGCACTTGTATAAACCACTCTAAACTCTGCCTTACTCCCAGTACATTGTTAAAGTATTAATTCCTCTTAAACATTTTCACATTTTGTTGCACTACAAACACTAACTATTTTATCAGGCTTCTGGTAAAATATAAACACTATAGTTTATGGTTGTAAAGTGAAAAGTATATGATAAATATTTTCCTCAATTTATTTTAAATAAAATCAACAGATGTCATGAACAAGACCCTATCCCTTTTGAGGTATATCAAACCCATGATTTGGGCAACTAAACAGAAAACTAATATTTTTGCCCATTATTCTTCACAACATAACTAAACCTTTAACATTTTGTATTTAACATTAATTTTCAATTGTAGCCTCAGCTTCTATTGTATATTTTCCGTACATGTTCGAAGGTGAGTCTACACCCTATTCTAAAACTCTTAATTAAACCCTGATAACTATTTTTGTACCTCTTCTCCATTATCCTGAATTTATGAGCTGTTATTTTAGTAATATAGTCTAACAAATACCTGAGGTCTTCAGATTTCAACTGGATTTTTACTGAGATTAAATGACTGTAACTAATCCCAGTACTTTTAAGAAGACTATTTGATGCACAGGAGGTGCTATAGGAATGTAAAAGTAAAGGAGAATCAATAAATATGATCAACAACTTTTAGATTATTTTGAATATTAAAACACAGCAGTACCAACACTTTGATAGCCCATCTATAGCTCAAAGTTCTAACTACTGATGAAACTGTTTTCTGTCCTGAACTCCACATTTATTATCTAAACCCATCACAGGACAGCAAAGGGACACACAAGACAAAAGAAAACACGTAAAGGGATCCTCAGAACATCCAATTAACCCCACCGTTATCTTAGGTCAGGTTTCAAAAACCTGAGCAAAAAGTCCTGTTGACTGTGCCATGGAGCAGCCCCAGTTAGAATCTTCTAAAGTTTATTTCTATGCTAGTTTAGATCAGTTGACATGAAGGAAGGCATTCAAATTGCAGATGATGTACATCCATCCATTATCTGACATGCTTTATCCCGAGTGGGGTCGCAAGGCGTGCTGGTGCCTACCTCCAGCCGTCTATGTGCAAGAGGCGGGGTCCACCCTGGACAGGTCGCCAGTCCATCGCAGAGCAACACAGAGACACACAGGACAAACAACCATTCACACACACCTAAGGAGAATTTAGAGAAGCTGTAAATTCATATCCTGTTGATAGACACCAACAGACAGCTGGTAGGCATTCAAGTGTATGATTCTTTCTTTCTTTTTATACCTTTCAGGATTTTTGTTTTTAAATTAATTGCAAAAATGTAATATCAAAGTCATTTAAATCTGACTGTGTAGTTTTATTCTTTAGCAATTGAAATTTATTACAAACCAAATAGTACAGTTTGTCCATATTGGGCCTTTACACCTATAGATGCCTTGCAGCTGACGTCACAGATGTTTGAAAAGTCAACCAGGGTCGACTGACCGAGGACCTCTGCTAAACTCTTTACATTCTGATTACTGCTGCACCTTATGGAAATGCTAATTTACGTGTTCTAAGCTGTTCATTCACTGATAAAAAGCTGTATGCATTGAAATTTTGTTTTTCCTACACTCTGTGTATACAAAATGACAATAAAGTTTGTCTAAGTCTAAGTCGAATAGAGCTGTGGCCATATTGAGTACCTGCTCTGGTCCCCTGCACGCCAAAGATGTATGTTGTGTCGTTGGATGTGTCAATAAAAAGGGTGACCCAAATATTTATTTTTACTGCTTACCAAAACAGAATGAATGTGGTCAGAGGTAGCTGTCAGCGATCACAAGGGTTAACCAGACCCCAACTGCAAGTAGCTGTCTGTGCAGGGAACATTTTGGATCAGGTGAGTTTAAAACAAGTCAGGACCGCTAGCTTAGGCTCGTGTCTACTTAATATAAATTCAGTGATTTGATTAGACTGATTATACACCTTTTGAAAGAACTGCATTTGATGTTAAGTTCTGAAGATTTTGCTTCAGCTATAGTTGTGTTTAGCTGTTTACATAAAGTAATCATAAAGATCAGATTTTTACCTTCGCTTTACACACGAATATACATTCTTGTTTTTCAAATGCCATAATTTCAAGTCCACAACCCAGCCGGCTGTGAAATACAGATAGATATCAGTGCTTTTTACAGCCTTCAGATTTTCTCTGGTGCATAGGTAAGGGTTTAATTTAAGACATATGTATCCATTGTGAAAGGACAAATCTGGAAGCCTGTCAGTTTAAAAAAGGTTTTGAAAAAGTCTAGATGGACTCCATATGGAAAATGGATTTTCTCTGTGTATTGTTTAAGCTCAATGGGATTTAAATGAGGATGATCCATTCTGGTCAGAGGGGAAGCACCACCAAGCTAAACTCATATTTCAGCACTCAATATGGTGGCTGTAAGGTAGAATCGTCCTGACGTCAGGCTTCTGAAACGTAGCTATAGCTAAGACTTGCACATGATCTGGATCATTACCAAATTTTAAGGAATTGCTCTTTGCATTAGACATGGAACCTTTGTTAAAAAAACATTCTAGTAAATCTGTTCATAAGATTTCAATTGATCCCTCTACCATACGAACAAAGTTCCCTTTTCTTGTGTTTTTGTATTCAGTAAAATAGCTTTAGACTTTTTGAGTCTGATGCTGAAGCTGTCAATAGTCATTGCTGCCCACCTCTGGTTTAGAGGGGAACTGCTTGTTCCGCCAAATATCTCACAATGTTAGAGAATCTTTAAAAAAAAAAAATCCTGTATTTAGATTATTATCTTGATCATCACCTCTGATAAAACTTTTACTAAAATTCGTCCATACCTCTTTTAGCTATTATGAAGAAAACAAGACAAAAACAACAAAAAACCTAAAAAACTATGCAGAACAAAACATAACCTCCTTGGTGGAGTTAATCAATTAACAGTTGATTGTGTGGACAGATGGATGGAGGATGGATTGATGGATGGATAGATGGATATTTTTTGTATAATTGCAAATTTCTGGTGTATTACATGTTGCTTCAGCTAATTGATCACTTTGCCTAAATTGAAATGAATTCCCTGAAGATCTTGCATAAATGAGCAGATAAAGACATCTTAGGTACAGCTGCCAATAGACATCCAGAGAAAAAAAAAGAATAATGAATCCAATCCTAGATCCATTCCTTGGTTTCCTTCCCTCACCCTCTGCTGTGGAGATTACACTCCCTTACTCCATCCCAGCTTGGTCTATGAAGACACACACACACAGACAAGCACACACACACACACATACTCCAAAACTCTTTCACAGAGATTTACTCAGAGTCTCAGTGGTCCAGCATGGAGCTGCAGCTGCTCATTCTCTGCAGTTAAATTGATACAACCTGGATGAGAAATCTGAGGCGAGTTGGTTGGAGAACATGTTGACCAATGGAATCTGTCTGCAATGACTTGGTACATCAGCAGTAATTTCACTATGGAGTTGTTCAGAGTTTGGTCCAAATATCAGAGGGTGGTTCTGATCACATCGATGATGTTCATGCAAGGTAGGTCAAGGTTTCCTACAGCAGGTTCAGCACTGCATGTCATGCTGTTCATCATACCAGAGCAGTTTTTAGTTTCTATGTTTAATCATTGTGTAGAAAGAATTTATTTTTACTGTGAGAACAGAGTAGATTTTAGTTTGAGAACTCATGCAGATATTTTGTTAAATATGCGCCTTCTGGGGAATATCTTCATTGATAACATTATGCATATTCTTCCAGCCCATAACCACATTGTTTAATCTTTCATCAGCATAGAAATTGTGAATTAAAAAGATAGAATGTGTTTTGTGAAATATCCTGCTTGTTTGAAGTTTTAACATAATTTTAGTTTTTCTTATGACGCTGTGGTTTGTGGTTTGACCTGATGTGTATGTGTGTGTGTGTGGGGGGGGGGGGTTCAGTCAACCCAAACGGCTTTCTGAAACCCCTTCAATTTATTTGTTCCCTGACCTTTGTCCCTGTGAGGCGTCTGAGGCTCGTTTAAGCTTTGGCACACCGAACGCAGTGATTGGATGCTTCTGGCATTGTTAGGGGTCACCATGGTAACGAGTTAGGCATCCAGCTGCATTGGTGCAAGTTTTTTGTCTCGACTTCGAAAAGAGGGGTCAATAGACGATAAGGAGCATGCTCTGCTGTTTTAAAGGAAAAGGCTTTCATGCAAGGCAAGACTTAGGTTGTTAGATTAGCAACATAGAAAAGTCTTTAGGAAATTTAGCAAATTTAAAAAACAAAGTCTAATTTTTTAAAAGAAGGAATGCTCAAGATGGGCCTCTTACTGTAAGAGCTGTCATTTCCATGCATTTAGTCCACTAGAGCGTTAATCAGCCCTGCTTCAGCCTCTCAGTGTAAAACTGTGACTAATTCTAAGAGAATTTGGCCTGATGGGGCAGGACTAGTGATTCAAATGCTAAACCATAGTTTTTTTTACAAAAAACAAAAAACAAAAACAAAAAACACTGGAATCATAATAACAAACTCTTTAGAAAGCGTACATGACGAATTTTGTTATATACACCCCTAAAACCTCTATTTCCTTAACTTTAAGTTTTAATAAAAATAGAAAAAATCTCGACTCAAAATTAAACACAAACCTTCAGTATAAAGTTCTCTGCAGGAGACAAAAGGATGTATATCTATGTCTCTGTCTGGGTCCAAAGGATTTGGGCATTTTCTTCCATATAAAACAAAGCAGCCACCTGCTGTGGAGCCTCCGGAGGACAAAGCCTGTGAAGCTTTCCGTCTCTTGTGGTGTTTCAATAAAATTCCTCTAAGCTTAACATGTTTTCTTGTGGGGATTCCCTTTCTTCTTCAGCCTTGCAGCATGACTGTCTAGACTGCAGGATCCCTTTAACCTGTACATACATCAGTCCAGTTCAGGTAGATTTACCTAAGTTCAGTCTGATTTATTTAATTTAGGTAAAACAGCCCTTACAAAAATGAGAGTGATCTCAAGACACTGACCATAAAATGAAAAGGTCAGTTTTGGACCAGTTTTTTTCCTTCAGCCCTAGCATGTGAAGTTCAGACCATCTGTTATGAAAACTGGATCGTTATTGATTTGGAACAAAATGGAAACAGATCGGATTTGATTGAACTATACAGTCTAAATGGTTTGCAAGTGATAATGTCTTGTCAGATTGTGCAGGTATTGTGCTCTATAAAAATATGGAGCAGTTTATAAAATTTTTCACTATTTCAACATCTTTTTCTTTTACTTTAATTGCTGTTGCAAATGTCATTCATTCATTATGATTTAAGAGTTTATAAAAGCATAAAGTTGACCTCTGTTTCAGACAGGGGAATGTGACCTGTCTCAGAGATTCTCCTCATGTTTTTGCACAGACTACACTGAAGGACAAAGATGCTAACAACATATGTGAAACGTTTAGAAGCACATTAGATGAATATGCCAGTATCTCTTAAAAGATTAAAATAAACATTAGAGACCCCTTTCGTTCCATTTTAAAACCTATCTCTTCATTTTTTTTTTTTACCAACCCCCACTTCAGAGACATGCGGAGGTCTCTGGTGAGCGTCATTTGTCTTATCCTGACATCCTTCTACCTGCTAACAGTCAGCGGATCTGCTTAGTGTTACTGGTTTAAAACACTGGTACCAGTCAGTGCCAGGTTTCAACTCTGTCGGCCTCAGCAGTGATCCATGGAGTGCTCTTTGATAGGAGGGGTGGGTGGATGGAGGAGGAGCTGTTATCATTGCCCTGGAATGTATGAGGTGTTGATTGGGCTTAGATGACGGGGTGAAGACTGAGGAAAACCTCCCTGTCTTTAAGATCCTTTTAGCAGGATTCATAAGATTACAACTGAAGGCATATGATTAAACCTGCATCATATGCCTGAATATTTACTGGGGGCCTGAGGAAAGAATCAGTTGAGGTTTTTTGGACACGAGGGTCACAGCCAATGACAATGATGACAGAAAAAAATATATATAAAAGTAAAATCTGAAAAGAGAGGTAGAGCAAATAAATTGTGTAGAAGAAAACTGCTGCAGGGGGATGTAGATCAGACATAGAATCTGATTTTATCCTTAGTTAAAGATGAGAAGCATACTGAAAAGCATACATTCTTTGTAATACTTCAATAAAACAGAATGCAAATATTCAGTTTTCTAATGAAAAAAATTTGTGCAAATGCAAATCTTTGTGTGAAGCTCCTTAAAAATCTAATCTATATTTTTTCCTACCAAATCTGAAAAGTTACACAAATTACATATTTATCTTTCAAAAATGTGCTTCACTATCAGTCATCCCCTCTGGAAGGTTACCTTGATTTAAAGATCAATGATATTCAAGTTGGGAAACATGCTTGTAAAAAAATTATATTTCACAACAAACAATGAAAATATAGCACTTTTTCCAAAATGTGCAATCTTAAATCTTGTAAATAATTTTCTGTCCAACCATAAAGCTTCTGTTAACACAAACATATATTTAAAACGTTGAATAGTAAAATATGTTGAGCCTTTAATTCTTATTATTTTGCTATTTCAAAAGATGTTAAAAGACAAGAAATGATAGAACTTCAGTTTTTGTATTGTGAAAGGTTTCGTTCTTTATCCAAACATGCTTTTTTTAATCTTAAGTTGTTTATTGTCTTGCACCAGATTTAAAGAAGCATGTGATAGAAAAATTATGTTGTTGTTTAACAGTCTTCTGAGGAGGATGCTAACTGTTGCCTTCTTCCTTTTTTTAAGCAGAGCTGGCCTTTTTATTAATCAGCTTGTAGAACCCTTTTAAGTCATTTGCTCTGATGCCGTTACCCCAACAAATGATGGCAGAAGACATCAGATTCTCCACCAATATCTTATAGCATCTTGCTGCAAACACTGACAGATTTAAGCTTCCTGAGGAATTAGAGTCTGCACTGTCCCTTCTTGCAGACTGGTTCAGTTTTTTGTAGTTTTTTGCAAGGCAATGTTGTAACGAAACAATAATAGGCCCATAAGGAGCTCACAGTCATGTTGAAATCTGGCATGTGTTGGGGTATAAATATGGTCCGGTCAGTTAATCTAGTATCAGGCGGGTTTAGGAGGAATTTGTCACACCGTTACATCAGCAAAGAGACGTCCTAGTCCATAATTGCTAGGGGGCCAACCAGGTGTCAGGGACCTGGCCCCTAAGCAACTGCAGTCTCTGCTTACCAATAGTTACGCCATCGTTGAAAGGATTAATCTTGTTCCAGATTCTTCTGAAATTTTTAATCAACTCCTTTGTTTTGTTCACATTGAGGATCATATATATATATATATAATTTTTCTTTTTAACTCAGCTTCTTGTTGATCCCTGATGCACCCATCACCTACAGAATCATCCAAGTATGTGTGCACATGCCAGGATTTTTTTATTTTGGACAATTGCAGCTTGCCTTTCTTCCAGTTTTTTTTTTTCCAAACAAAGGAAAAGAGAGGCTGTACAAGCAAACTGTTACATAAAACTCATGTAGAAGTACCTTTATTTATTCCAACTACACCTTTTATGCAGTCTGTGAGTTGTTATTGAGGCTGTTAATCACAAGTGATTGAAAAACATTATCTAAGTCCTTGCTGATTCCTTGTTCCTCCTTGATCCCGCGTCGAGTTCCTCCAATAGATGCCACAAAAGAAACAAGGAACCTCCCAGGCTTTATGATGTATGAAACGTAGGGAGGTGATGGAAGGAGAAGTAAGACAGTGATGTGGGAAAAAAAAGGTTTTGTGTTAGGTGGAAGTTATGGATGTCGTTGAAAGGAGGTGGGGTGTTAAAATGCTTACAGTAGAATAAAGGAGTTGCAAGTGTTAGATGGAGGACCAAAATGTATTGTTATTGCTGTTGATGATGGTGTTTGCAGAGAAGAGAGGGAAGCTAGGTGTCTGCCATGTAATTGGGAAGCAGCAGAACATTTTTACTGGTGGTAAAACTCATTCACCTTGTTAGTAGGTAGGAGCAAAGGGTGTCAGGAATGGCCTGCCTCACACATAGGTGCTGTAGCACCAATGGTGTGTTCACACCCAACTTGTTTTTAGCGTCAGGAGAGTGTGGTTTACATGCATTAAGGAGAACACACAGAAAGGAATGTCTATATTCAAGAGGCCCTGTTGGGCTTTTTCAGCAGCAGTCTGTTTAGTGTTCAAGTTTTGAGCATGTCTAAATATGCCAGAGTTGTGAAATGTGTATTTTTGCATTAGAGCACAGTGAATCAAGCAATCAGATAAAACTGAGCTTTGTTAAAGACAAACAATGCATCAATGTTTCATCCAATATATTTATAATTGTGCTTGAACGTTTACATGCCTTTCCTTGAAAGAAAATCATACATTTACGCTAATAATTAAAATGACACAAAATTGAAAAAGGTAGTAATAAATAGAGATGTACTAATTGATAATTTTGTAAAATATAATATTGATTTAGATTTTTTTTATTTTGAAAAATCTAATAAAAAAAATTAAATACTTGTAATGTTGATAATCTTGGGTTCATAACTAAACTTATTTATTAAGGTAACGAGTCAGGAGGAAACAGGTACACCGTGATATGTTCATTCTTCATCTACTGATGACTTGCAACACAGAGACACATATCGGCGGGGTACATCATATCTGCAGCCATCTGTGTCAGGAGGTAAAACTACAACTCCTTAACTTAGCATCACATCCCCCTTTTTCTAGAGATGAAAACATTATACATACCTTGCCATTAAACAGTGAACCACCAGCCCTGTTAAAAAAGTTTATTCAGGTATGGTTGGAAAGCAATGTCTGAAATCATTTTTTAAAAAGTTCATAGAATTTTTATGAACTATTTCTTTTGTCTGATTTGTGATGTTTAGATGACCATTTGTATTTTTCCTTGCATTAAGCAAAGGGTGCCAACAACCTGGTCTGTGTGTGTACAACTCTGTTAGAAATAGACCAAAGAAATAATCCCACAAAGCACTCTTAATCCATTATAGTGAGACTATTAAGCCGCATCTTCATTGGTCTAAATTCCAATGGCAGGGGGTGCACTTTAGACTACTCCAGCCAATACCTCCTCTGCACTTAGTAGTATATGGTTTAGATGCAACTGCTGAGCTACGGATGTCTGAAGCTCTCTTCATTATATTTTTGCTGAATCTGAAGGCCATAGATGTGTATAGCTCCTTTTCTGTTCCTACTTATCTCAAAATTGATATAATCTGCTAGCTGCGCACCTCGGCACCCATTAACCTCACCTCTTGCTCCTGGCTGAGTCATGTTGTTCCCCATTCAATTTAATTTGTATTATAATACAGCTAATACTAATATTTTAAAGAAATTAATAACATGTCATGAATTGACTTTTCAACATGGTACCTCTAATAGTACTGCGCTAAAAGTACTGAACTTTAGAAAGTGATGCAATATTTCATAAATCTTAGTGGAAGAGTTCACCGCAGCTTTGTGCTGGATTCTATACACTGTTGGTCTTTAATGTGACTTGAACATCGGATTTCAATCCTCTGGAGGGCTAACCAACTCTTCAGTATAACAGTTTAAACTCTAATCTTTTTCTATACTAGTGTCATTAGTTAAAGTGGGTAAAATTTCTATTGTTGACACAGACACAATAATAGGTTTACACTTAACACCATCTGCTCCACAGTCCACAGAAAAGAGGGTGCAAGTAACTCTTCATATTAAGATTTCTTAGGTTTCTTAGCCTCTCCAAGTGTTACAGAGATAAGTATACAATTGAATTAGCTGCATTAGAATATTTAGATTTGTTGTATAATCTAAAAGACCTATGGTAGACTTAGCAAAATTATCTCTACAGTAATTAATTAGCATTGAATAAAAGAGGCCTGTTTCAAATTTGTCAGCAAAGCTGAACTTCAATTAAGAGTTGATTATAGGACATGGAAGTATTCAAGTGGCAGAGTTTAAGAGAACAGTTTTGTTATTATTGATAATATTACTGTATTGTAAATTATTCAATACAGCATTTAAATGGTTTATTTTCGTCCATTCAGCTATGTTATTTGATTTAATCTGAAGTGTTGTACTTTTCAGGGGTGGCAGCCTAGTGGTTAGGGCATAGGGTTTTGAATCCTGAGGTTGTGAGCTTGATCCCCCATTCCCACAGACTACCACTCTGGCTCCCTGAGCAAGACCCTTGACCCCACACTACTCCCCAGGCGCCACACAGTGGCAGCCCACTGCTCCCCAAGGGGATGGGTTAAATGCAGAGAATTCATTTCATTGCTCTGTACTTGTGACAGTGGAATGACAATAAAATTCTATTCTAATATTTCTAAGCAAACATACAAACTAATTTGAGAATGTAAAAGGGTCAGCTGTTAAATGGCTTAAAGATGTTTAGCTGTCAGCTGGTTAATTGAAAAAATAATAGTTGCTACCTAAAAGCAATGCAAAGTTTTCCAAAAATCCAGAATGGTAAATAAAGAGTAATATTTTCTCTGCTTAAATAGGATTCAATATTTAGATAGTTTCATTCAAAAAGATATTGTTATAAAAGGGAAACACCAATGAGGCATCTGAACAAAAATGTAAAATTGAATAATTCATAACCCCCATAATGTAACATAAAACAGAACAAGAGGTTCCAATTGGTAAGAGAGATGAACCAGCAACTTGGTTGGTATTTAGAAATAGTAACCTTCTATTTGACAAAAGGGGGGAGCTGGGATGTTTAAAGTTACCTGATAAAAACTAGTGACTTTCCTAATGTCATTAATCGCATGGGATACATTTTTGCAAATTTTCTCATTTAATCAGTTCAAAGGGGATTTGCTAAGGATTGAGTTATTTTATGATGCTATGGTACAATTCAATTCAGTTTATTTATATAGTCCCAATGCACAACACATGTCATCTAGAGGCACTTTATGCCACTGGAAGTAATTTTGACATGATGAGCATATAGGCGTGTTTAAGATGCAATAAAAATAAATAGTAAAATAGATTGAGATTCACAACTTTATTGTCATATACACTTTAGTGAACGCAACCAGGGTCTGTAAATCTATATATGCGCTATTAATTAAATTTCAACATAACACTATAACAACATAAATTTGTTCTGTTATAAACCTGGATAACTGTGTTTATGTCACACATGACTTTATTAGCTCCAAAATCCTTCTATGCAAACTACAAGGAAAAAATTTTATTATTATACTACGTTATTGAACAGTTCTCCACAGCGATTACACAAAGAACACAAGATCGAAATAACACTCTAAAATACTATGGTTACATTAAACTGCAAGAATAGATATGAAAGTGTGTGGCAACCCATGCTCTTACTTTGAGCTACAGACAGGGTGCTCTGGTTAAAGGTCTTTCAAGAGTGGACGAATCCGAAATGCCATATTTCCTATCTCATAATTATGAGATCGTATCTTGTAATTATGAGATGATATCTGATAATTACGATATACTGATCTTGTAATTTTGAGAAAAGCTGTGATTTTTTTTTTCCTTTGGTGAATGCAATATGCTTCTGTATCGGTGAGTAATTGTGACTGGAAAAATAATCGTTTCACTGTCCTAATTAAATCTTATCTATTAAAAGTATGGTGCATATATGATGAAGTACAAATGTTATTGATGTGTTAAAGCACTTTGAAAATTAATATCCTTTGACAGACTTTTCTTGGGCTAGAATGATACTGACTTGTAAGGCAGAGAGGTTAAATCAATTCCTGATCATAGGCATGAACTACAAATATTTATGTAATGATTCTCAATAAGTTTAAGAAATCAAATTATGTAATTATTAGTTGTTTTTTTTGTAGAATAAATAACTCCATTCATCCTAGCTTTGTTGGACATATGGAATATGTTTTAATCATTTATTTGTCAAAATATTTGTCAAAATAAATTATTCATCAACTTTGGTTGGTCAAGCATTACAGTTTACAAAAGCCAGACTTTCGTTTCATGAGACCCTTGTTACATCTATGCCTACTGAGCATCGTCGTTTACATATTTTTCTGTATTAATGCAAAAGTGTTTGGATGTTATAAGTTTGCTTTACTAAGGTGTTTCAAAAGCCCATGTTAATGTAAATATAGGTCAACTTCATTGGCGGCTCTGGTGTTATCTATTGCTGATACTCCATAGTTTCTTGGCAGAGTATGGATCTTTACTGTTTGTGGGACTAAGAATCACAGCGGTACCATACTCATTGAAGTAACCATTGGTATTTTAGGCAGTCAGGGCAGATGCCAAGATCTCTTGTTTGGTAGAACCGACAAGTTTATGTATGTGACATATATCCAGCCATAAAGAAATCTTTGGATATGACAAAACACAGTGGAGTAACGCCAGCTGGTGGACAGGTTACCATCATACTTGAAATACAATCTAAACCGGCCAAACGTCTTTTAGCAAAAGCATTTAAATTTGTACTAAGGTGCTGTTATGTAGAACATACCAGCAAACCTTTCAGTTGCACAGTTGAAAATGTTATACAAAGTTGATTATTTAATTTTTTTTTTTGCAATGTGTCTTTACATTTTTATTGTACAAGAAAAAAATATTAAAAATACTATATAGCAGTCGTATATTTGCAATTTTTCTTATTTTTTTCCTTTCCCCCCATTCTAGGAATACTTTTTACAGCAGTGGCAGACAGGTGTTTATCCCCTCCTTGCACCAGTGGTGAAAGATGTATCGACCACATGGGTCAACATGTGTGTCTTTGCCCCAAAGAATCGGATAAATTGTACATGGGTGCAAACTGTGATGAACTGTATGATCCCTGCATTTTTGCACCTTGCACCAACTGTACCAGCGAACTAGGAACGGATCAGTACACCTGTCACTGTCCAGATGGCTTCACGGGGAACAGCTGTGAACAGAATATGGATGAATGTCAGAGCAACCCCTGCACTGGTGTTAAGTCCAACTGCGTTGACAAAGTCAATGGTTATTCATGTCATTGTCCTCTTGGATTTGGAGGTGAGGACTGCCAGGATTATGTGTTCACTTGCACAATGGAAACATGTCAGAACGGTGGCACTTGCCTGGACATCCCAGACTATGGTCCCAAGTGTCTATGTGCTGCTGGATTCAATGGTGTGGACTGTAAGGAAAATATTGATGAGTGTGAATTGGACCCCTGCCAAAACGGAGCCATCTGTAAAGACAGAGTAAACGGCTATCAGTGCTTCTGTGTGCCCGGATTTCAGGGTTACCACTGTGACCTGGACATTAATGAATGTGCCTCACGACCCTGTCAGAATAATGGCACATGTCTGGATATGGTGGATCGATACCTTTGCAACTGCCCCCCAGGTTTTGAAGGTAATAACCTATTTTTACAAGTTGTGTTATTAAATTGGTAGAGCAGACTGAAACATTAAACTTCTATGCACAGCTATATATACATACATACATACATTCATGCATATATATATACATACATACATATATATACATATACACACATACATGTATATATGTATGTATGTATATATGTATATATACAGTATATATACATATAACTATGTGTGTGTATATATATACTGTATATATATATATATATATAATATATAATATACATATATATGTTATATCTGTTTATGTAATGTCAAACTCCTGTTTACTTAAAAGGTCATTATAGGTAAAAGGCTTTTACAGACACGTTTTCCAGACAGTTTAAAGCTTCAGTTGAATTGTTTTTCAAGTGCAGTTGGAGACACTGTGGAAATTGAGTCTGTTTGGTGTGTACTTGCTATAAAAAAGAAAACAATTGAAAACAATATTTTCTACTGTAACAGTAAAAGTGCCCCAGCATTATCAGAGCTTTTGTAATTTCTCTCTTCAGATTGGTAACTTACTTTTAAAGAAAGGCATGACAGAAATAAGCAAATATTAAATCTGTAATGGAATGTAAAGACAGATAAGGTATTTACTGGGATTATTATGTATGAAGTTAATTTATTATCTTGGGATTTCTCTGGCGCCCTGTAGGCATTAACTGTGAGATGGAGATCGATGAGTGCGAATCACTTCCTTGTCGTAATGGTGCCACCTGTCAAGACCATGTTGCCATGTACTCGTGTGAGTGTGTGGCAGGTTTCCAGGGCCAAGACTGTGAGGTCAACATTGACGAATGTTCCAGTATGCCTTGTCTGAATGGGGGCCAGTGCAATGATAGGGTCAACAGGTAAGATTGCAAAAAGCTTTTAAAATTTGGTTTATGTATTGAGATATTCTCCAACCTTGACTAGGGCTTTTTTCCTTTTTCTTTTCATCAGAAATCAATTATAACAAATATTTTTATAGAAATAGGTCAACACAGACATAACTATACTTTGCTTTGTGTAAAAAAAAATGAGTATAAATCACAGGATACCAAATTTTTCTTTTTACTGACAGATCAGGAGTGCATGTTTAAATTTTATAAGTGGCCCAAAAAACACAGCAATGATGTTTGTTTCTGCAAACTAAAGACTACTATCTGTATCACTCTACTGCCAAATCTATAAGCCTTCTAAATTCATAAGCTCAAGGATGATGGAAGTTAGCCATTGCTGTGACCTCACTGGTGAATGGCCTCACATTGCTCTTTTGGTGGGCCTGGCCAGATCCTGTGAGGAGCAGCGCCACCGGGCCCTCGCTGACATTCAAGTATCTGTTCTCAAGTGAGGGGAAGAAGGAGTGGGAGATAGATAGACAAATCAGTATGGCTGCCACTATAATTCAGAAGCTTCAATCTGTTGAAAAATAGTAAATGATTGTAAATTTACTGTTCTAACTTTTTTTTCCTTTTTTTATCATTCTTATGTTCCCTATATATATATATATATATATATATATATATATATATATATATATATATATATATATTGTCATGATGGGTTCACTGAAGGCGACCCAGTTATGCAGAACACCACTGACGGACACAAGGATGAAAAGTTCAACAGTTTATTAAAGCACAAACACACAGAATGTACTGATTCTGGTTCGGGGCCTGGATACTGGTTCACCGGAGTCTGCGTGAGAGACAGCACAGTTAGGGGTTTGTTGGCAGGGTTTAATTTCCAGAAGTTCACTGATTGTACCTTGAGGGTTCTTGAGGTTAACTTTGGGAGAGTCACTGTTAGTTCTGGAGAAGGGTTCATCAGCAGAGTCTGTTAGCTGCTTCAGCGTCTCACGTCTTGTTAGAACAGACCTTGGCTTGGAAGTCCCAGCTCAGTCCTGAGCTGCTTGAGGTTTCTCAGAGGGATCTTCAGGGTTTGGCTCAGAGGGTCGGCTCGGCAGGTTAGCTCTTCCAGAGCTTTCTCAGAGGAGGCACAGGTTTCCTGGAAGACAGAGATAATAGTTAGAATCCAGACTGGATTCAAAGTCATGGAGATACTCAGAGGATCTAGGCTTTAGCGCTGATCAACTGGAACAACACTGCGGCGTTGAGGCAAGGTCTGAAGACAGCTTAAGTAGTGGATCCTCTGATGATCTTGATGAGCTGCAGCTGTGCAGGAGGCTCCCTCAGAGGATCCACGGACTCTGCTGGAGAAAGATGGGATTTCTCCAGCTCCCAACAGTACCCCCCCCTCAACGACCGCCCCTTGGCGGTCCGGAAGAGGTAGATGGGCGGGAACGCTCGTACTCCTCGATGAGTGCAGGATCGAGGATGTACGAGCCTGGGACCCACTGGCGATCCTCCGGTCCGTAGCCCTCCCAGTCGACGAGGTACTGCCATCTGCGACCTAGTCGACGGGAGTCCACGATGCGGCGCACTGTGAAGGCCGGATGGCCATCGACCTCCAGGGCGGGTGGTGGGGAGTCGGACGGTGGGCACAAAGGGCTCGAAGAAACAGGCTTGATCTGGGACACGTGGAATGTAGGGTGGATGGTAGTAGAATGTAGGGTAGTTGGAGACGAACAGCTGAGGGGTTGATGACTCGAGTGATCCTATAGGGTCCGATGAATCTTGGGGAGAGTGGAGAGCCATACCTCCTGGCCCTCAGAGTACTCGGGGGCGGGACGTCTCCTGGCGTCAGTGAAGCGTTTAACAGACACTGATGACTGGTTGAGTGTGGCGATGGTCTCCCTCCAAATCCTCTGGCAACGGCGGATGTGTTGATTGACGGACAGCACCGATATCTCTCTCTCATCTGCGGGGAAAAGAGGTGGTTGATACCCGAGACTGACCTGGAATGGGGATTGTCCAGTGGATGCAGATCTGAGGGAGTTATGGGCATATTCAATCCATGGGAGAAATTGGCTCCAATCCACGGGGTTGTTCGATGTGAGGCAGCGAAGGGTGGATTCCAACTGTTGGTTAATGCGCTCGGTCTGACCATTCGATTGGGGGTGGTAACCTGAGGTGAGAGAGGGTTTGCAGCCGAGCGCAGAGCAGAATGCCTTCCATACCTGGGAGATGAATTGAGGACCTCTGTCCGAGAGGATCTCTTGGGGGATCCCATGAAGTCGGAAAACATGTTTAATGAGGAGCTGAGCTGCCTGGAAGGCCGTGGGAAGCTTTCTGAGGGGAACAAGGTGGCAGGACTTCGAGAAGCGGTCAACAATGGTGAGTATAGTGGACATACCTCGAGAGACAGGGAGACCGGTGACAAAATCAATGGCGATATGGGACCAGGGACGCGAGGGAACAGGAAGTGGTTGAAGCAGGCCAGAAGGAGGTTGGTGTGAGGCTTTGTTACGGGCACATGTGGGGTAAGCCAACACATACTCCTTTACGTCCTTGTGGAGAGAGGGCCACCAGAAGCGTCTGGAGATGAGAGCTACTGTTCTACTGACTCCAGGATGAGCAGAGAATTTGGCGGCATGCATCCACTGGATAAGACGGGACCTGACAGAAGATGGAACATATGTACGGTTAGAAGGACCGTTACCTGGATCGGGTTCAGTGGCCAGGGCTGAGTTGATGAGGTCAGTTATCTCCCAGTTGACCACTCCCACAGTACATGAAGCTGGAAGGACAGGTTCAGGTGTCTCGGGATGATCGACGGAGTAGAGACGAGAGAGAGAATCGGGCTTCACGTTCTTGGATCCGGGTCTGTAGGAGATAATTAGGTTGAACCGAGAAAAGAAGATTGACCACCTGGATTGGCGAGGATTAGCCTGTTTGGTGGACTGGATGTAAGCCAGGTGCTCAGCTCCCTCCAGCCAGTGCCTCCATTCTTCCAACGCCAGTTTGATAGCCAGGAGCTCTCGGTCACCCACATCATAATTTTGTTCAGCGGAAGAAAGTCTACGGGAGAAGAAAGCACAAGGGTGTATCGACGGAGTAGAGACGAGAGAGAGAATCGGGCTTCACGTTCTTGGATCCGGCTCTGTAGGAGATAATTAGGTTGAACCGAGAAAAGAAGATTGACCACCTGGATTGGCGAGGATTAGCCTGTTTGGTGGACTGGATGTAAGCCAGGTGCTCAGCTCCCTCCAGCCAGTGCCTCCATTCTTCCAACGCCAGTTTGATAGCCAGGAGCTCTCGGTCACCCACATCATAATTTTGTTCAGCGGAAGAAAGTCTACGGGAGAAGAAAGCACAAGGGTGTATCTTTTGGTCTGAATCGAGCCTCTGGGACAGGACAGCTCCAACACCAGAATCTGAAGCGTCCACCTCTAGGATAAACTGTTTGGCAGGATCAGGTTGCATGAAGACAGGAGCTATGAGAGCTACTGTTCTACTGACTCCAGGATGAGCAGAGAATTTGGCGGCATGCATCCACTTGATAAGACGGGACCTGACAGAAGATGGAACATATGTACGGTTAGAAGGACCGTTACCTGGATCGGGTTCAGTGGCCAGGGCTGAGTTGATGAGGTCAGTTATCTCCCAGTTGACCACTCCCACAGTACATGAAGCTGGAAGGACAGGTTCAGGTGTCTCGGGATGATCGACGGAGTAGAGACGAGAGAGAGAATCGGGCTTCACGTTCTTGGATCCGGGTCTGTAGGAGATAATTAGGTTGAACCGAGAAAAGAAGATTGACCACCTGGATTGGCGAGGATTAGCCTGTTTGGTGGACTGGATGTAAGCCAGGTGCTCAGCTCCCTCCAGCCAGTGCCTCCATTCTTCCAACGCCAGTTTGATAGCCAGGAGCTCTCGGTCACCCACATCATAATTTTGTTCAGCGGAAGAAAGTCTACGGGAGAAGAAAGCACAAGGGTGTATCTTTTGGTCTGAATCGAGCCTCTGGGACAGGACAGCTCCAACACCAGAATCTGAAGCGTCCACCTCTAGGATAAACTGTTTGGCAGGATCAGGTTGCATGAGGACAGGAGCTCTGGAAAACAAGGATTTTAGTTTCTCAATTGCTGCTTGAGCCTCGGGAGTCCACTGAAAAGTGCATTTAACAGAAGTCAGGGAGGTTAATGGAAGGGCGGTCTGGCTGTAGTTTCTAATAAACCGACGATAGAAGTTAGAGAACCCTAGAAACCTCTGTAATTGTTTGCGGTTCTCTGGAACTGGCCAGTCTAAGACTGCTTTGATCTGGGACACGATCAGGAGCAGGAGGCTCCCTCAGAGGATCCACGGCGGACTCTGCTGGAGAAAGATGGGATTTCTCCAGCTCCCAACATATATATATATATATATATATATATATATATATATATATATATATATATATATATATATATATATATATATATATATATATATAAATATATATAAATGTAATATTGTGTTTGTGGGTTAAAATTAAATTCTGTGACCAGCTTTTTAGGTTATTAAAGTCGTAATAATGTAAACATTGAGAAACAACAATGTTATACTTTGTGTGTCACATAAAACCCAATGACTTATGTATGTGACAAAATGTTTGAAAAGTTCAAGAGGCAGGCTACAGTAAAACTTATTTTCTTACAACTGTTGTTTTTTTATGGGAGGTTTTAATGCTTCACATCTCTGGAGTTACTTTTGAATTTAACTTCCTCTCAAACACACATATTTTTCAGTGGGATGATAGATCTGAAGAAAAAAGTCTTAAGATATATAAAATGAATCCTTTTATTAAATCCCACTGTGATAAGGGCTAACTTCTGCCTCTGTTTCTTTTCCAGTTATGAGTGTGACTGTGATGGGACAGGCTTTAGTGGGGACCACTGTGAAAATGATATTCTTGAATGTGCATCTAACCCCTGCATGCATGGAGCCACATGCTTAGAGGGAACCAACCAGTACGGGTGCCTCTGCTTGGAAGGTATAGAGTTCAGCTCAAATTATCAACCTAGCAAATTCTCAGGGAATTATTTAGATTTGAAATATATATTTAATTCTCAGAAAATTATTCAGTATGTATGTATAAATACTGTCTAAAGTTTAACAAATCTACATGGTAAATTTACAGTAATCAATGGTTTGTTTTTAACATGCAGAAAATTGGCAAAAGCATTAACTCTACCATCCAAATCATGTTCTCATCTTTTACGTGGCCAGAAATCTATAAAGGGGCTAGGCATACAGTCTGCTAAGGAGTTAATATACTGTATACAAATATGAATATATTTCTATACCTTTAGGTTACGAAGGGGAGAACTGCGAGGTGGATATAGATGAGTGTGAACAGCATCCGTGTGCCAATGGAGCAGAGTGTTTTCAGCGCTCAGATATCCAGAACTATGAAAGACTTCCTGAACTGAGAATGGTAAATTTTAGCTATAACACAGCAGGTGGCTATTTGTGTCGCTGCCTGCCAGGATTTTCAGGTAAGCTTTATCTACAAAAACTTTTTTTTATTTTATTTTATTTTTTAATATATATCCAAAGTCTGATTCTGATGAAAGTATCCCCCTCACAGGTTACAACTGCTCAGTCAATATCGATGAATGTGAGTCGGCTCCATGTCTTCATGGAGGAAGCTGTCAGGACCTGGTCAACTCCTTTCAATGTGTGTGTCCTTGGGGTTTCACAGGTAAAATAAGCCCTTATGTATTATCATTCCAAAAAAACATTCCACTGGACTTTGTTTCCAAGTTTGAAGACTTTTCGCTTCCCATCCCGGAAGCTTTTTCAATTCAAAATGTCAGAAATAGCATTGAGTTTGAGGCTTTATACAGTAGCCCAACAAAGCCTTTAGAAAACATGCAAATTGAAACAGACGAACTTGTCCACCCCTTTGAAATGGAGGATATGGAGGCTAGCTTCTTTTGTTGGCCTGCGATACCCCATTCCTGTCTATGTCTCTGAAAGGTGTGTGTTATGTATTTCATAATCTTACCTTCTAGCAAAAGAAACTCAAGTTTATTTTCTCTTTGCAGAGATTTAAAAAGAACTGATCCTAAGCTTACCTACAGTACACGCCCATCTTAACAAAAAGGCCACATTGGTTCAAATATATGAACAGAATGCTTTCTTTCAGCTCTAGGGTTAATACTAAACTTATTTTTATCCAATCTAAAGTATATACAATCAACACATAAAATATTCCACATTTTTTATATAAATTAAGTAATGATAAAGTCAAATCTCTAATCATTAATTTTCTCTCTGATTTTATCACTGGCTTGTGGAAGCTACAGTAGTGATCGTAATAAAAAAAATACAGTTAACCCATGAAGCTGGAAGGAGGTTAAATGAATTACGTACATGATTTTTTACATAATAAAATTTAAAATAGTTCAAGTGGAATGAATATATTTGCAAGACTCTGAACAGTAGAAGTGTATGATCATCATCTTCGTAGTTCAAAGAAGCCCAGAAAAGGCAATTAGAGTTTAATCTTCTTCCTGCTGATTATTCCTCATGACTAGCCAAGCTATTAATTCTTTATTAGAACAGATTTCCCCCTTTATACTCAAAACACGAAAAATAACATACTAACCCTGATAAGACAAAAAATAGCATGGCTCCAGACCTAGGAAGCCAGCTTTACTCAACAGAATAAAGGTTTACTCTGCCCATGCTGTTATAACTGAGATTCCAGCACAGTGGTGGATAGCAGGTAGAGAGAGGGCATGTGGTGTGGACAAGCATTGTTGTAAACAACAAAGCTCATAAATGTAGCCAAATGTTGGATATTAAGCAGCGTTCCTTTAAGAAACTTGTCAGGAGAGGGCAATCAAATCAAAGCTGCTTAGGATCCAAATTAAGCTCTGACTAAATCAGAACAATATTAACAGCAAATCTGTCGTTTAGTTTTTGCTAATTTCTGCTTAGCTGTTGCTGTTCTATAAAACACTGAAGGACTATTCCATTTAAGTAGTTCCGTCTGTTCAGGTATCAGATTTTTTTCTATGTTCAAGTAAAACCAACGTAATTGGATATGATGATTGAGAACATCCAACTTATCCTTTGGATGGTGGCAGTCAGTCGTACGCAGTTTTAATTTACTAATTGCTTTGTAGTGCAAGTACCTTATCAATTACCCCTCTGGTACTCATTTAAACAATTAAAACTTTTTTTATTTTTATTTTGCTTTAAAAACAATATTTCAATGTAAAAGAAGCTACATATTAGAGAGTATAGTTGATCAAAGATCTGATGTGTAATTAACATGGCTGCCAGGCCCGGTGTATTTAGCATTTATAATTATCACTGAAAAGGTAAGAAAAATGAGTAAGCAAACATTTTGAAATATTTTATAAATATTTTTTATTAATGTCATAAAAATGTAAACTACATAAGAGCTACATCTAAATACACAAAGGAGCGGATATGAGATCGATCCTCCGATTGATCTGTTAGAGTGTATAACCATTATTGCTCTCATCAAACTCAATGGGAACAACCCTCATATCAATTTTGTGTACATTTTCTAAAAAGTTGCTACTCAGATACACATTTTGTTGATTATTTCCAATCTAATCTGCACAAAATGTTTCAAGTTTTATCTTTAATGTATAGTTTAAAATTGGTTTTCATACTTCTAATAGTTATATTATTATATATATGATTATACATATTACAATTGTAACACCTGCATTTCCACACTCTTAGACCATATCAACAAGTTGCTTTTTACTCTCCACAATGATCTGACCACTTAAATTCAATGCAATGTGTAATCCAGAAGCAGGAATTGTAAAACAGAGATTAAATAAAAAGTAAATGTATTCCATGAAAACAACATGCTTTTATCAGGTAACAAAGTGTCCCTGGTTTCACAGCTGTTTCACAGATAGAGATTTTTTTCCAATATGAAAGTAATTTTACTGACAAATTTTAATGAATTTTAGGTTCAAGCTCAGTTTCTGTGGCCATTTTTCCTCATGGAAAATTTTACTGTTGTGTAATTTACAGACCAAAAAAAGAAGTTTCTTCTGTGTGGCTGAAAACCTGACATTTGATTTGCCATCTTATTGCCAGAGATTTTAGCTTTTACACATGTCCGAGCTTCCTTAGAACTAATTTGCTACCGCTGAGCTTTAGTCATACCCTGCACTGTTTTGATTTCCTTTGAACTTGCAGCACCTCCTGCTGGTCTTAAGAAACATTTTCTGCAGTCTGTTGCCATCTAAACAAGTGTAAGGAGTAGGTGTGGGAGGGACTGCAGCATTGCATTCCTCTTGTCAAATGACAGGAGCCAGATGGAGTCTTACCTCTGAGCCAGGGCTGAGCTGCAGACAGGAAAGCAGCAGAGGAGGGAGGTAAGGGAGGGATGAACCTTTTCAGGGAAGGTGACAGAGGGAGGAGAAAAGCTTGGAAGGGCTGCATTGTAATCATTTCTGCTTGACAGCCTTGTGCAAAGCAAAGATATTGAGGAGTAGAGGCAGTGGACTTTTCTGCATCTCTTCTACCATCGCTAGTGTGGGGAGTGGATTGGGAGTTGGAAGAAAATGGAAGGGAGGTGTTTGATGCTGATTCCTTTCCTGTGCTGTTTTTTGACAGAGGGCATGATAGGTATGGTGAACAACATTTTGTTCAATGTAACAATAGAATAGGGAACATTTGTAGTTTTTTTTTTACTGAGAGGTTGAAGTCTTGGCATTATAAAGGCAAGCTGTAGAGCCCTCTGTTTCCGGAGTATTTATAAGGACTGTTAATGCAAGTTGACTGATGCTGCCAGAGCTTAACGTTGAATGCGATTCAGATTCTCCTCCCCAGTCTGAAATCTGTAATTAGTGCACAGAATCTGTCAATTACTTCATCTGACAGGTATCTAATGTAACATGTTTATGTCCAGCTGGCAAATTCATACAGATTTAGCTGCATTGCTAATCCTACTGAGCTCAAACTGTCATATAATTTCCTTCTCTTCCAATATTTGTAATACAGATGCCTCACACAAACCAGAACTGCCTTTTTATCTCTATTTGTGTCAGTCAGTAAGTTATTATTAACTTTCCAACACACCTTTTTTTAAATTGTTAGGATTATATTAGAATTTACTGTCCTAGATAAAATCACTGTGTGAAATCCTTCTCAATAAGTGTTTCATGAGCAACATTTTTATTAGTGTTTTTGTTTTTTCGTTAAGGTGTTTTCTGCGAGGTTGACATCAATGAATGTGACAGCAATCCCTGTCTGAACGGAGCCACATGTGAAAATGGTGCCAACTCCTACAAGTGTCACTGTCCCTCACCAGAGCAAGATCAGGAACCCTGGGGTGGACGTGACTGTGATGTGAAGCTGCTTGGCTGCCGGCAGAACCAATGTCAAAATGGGGCAACCTGCATGCCAATACTGAAAAGTGATGGGGGGCACAGTTACATCTGTATGTGTCCCCCTGGCTGGGGTGGAGAACGCTGCAATACTTCAACGACTTTCTCCTTCAACAGAGAGGGTTATGTTTATATGCAGCTGCCAGTTTTCAAGAATAGGAATACACAAGAGGCTGTAGATAAAATCCAAGGACTCCACATGCAGCTTCGTTTCAGGAGTACTCTCCCAAACATGGTGGTATACTACCGGGGAACAGCTGAGCACTTTCTCTCCCTAGAACTTGTTAACGGCTTCCTCCAAGCTGTAGTAAACTCAGGGAGGTTACTGAAGTTGGTTTACTCCACCCCATTCAATGATGGGAAATGGTACCAAGTGACTGTGACCATGGATGAGGGGTTGGTTTTGACCGTTCAAGGGCCTGGTTGTAAGGAAGGATGCCAGATCAGGAATGAAAGTCACAACCATCTGATTTTCCTCCAGCCCAACTTTTTCCGACAGCTTTATATTGGAGGAGTACCTCCAGAATATTCCACTCACTTTTCAAGTGGAAAAGGATTTATTGGCTGTATAGAAGACCTTAAAGTTGACCTGAAACTGTTGCTACCTCAAGACCTCATAAGGGAAGAAAACAAAGGCTTGGAACTTGGATGTTCAAAAAAGGATTGGTGTTCTAACAGAGTCTGCTCGGAGCATGGACAGTGTGTGGACATGTGGGTTCATGCAGACTGTGTCTGTCATCGGCCATATTATGGCATTCACTGTGAAAAAGGTAAAGTTTATAACAAGTCTTTATTTTTCTTCATTTTCAGGAAACGTAAAGTGCCATGACTGGCAACATTTCACCACCTGTGTCAACCCAGATTAATTTGTTATTTCAAAGTCATGTGCTGTTCCTGCCAAGATTTACAAACACTCATTATTTCCACACAAATAACTCATTTGAAATTAGTCTTTTGTTGTTTGCCAGTGAAGTAGGGCCACTGGAGCAAAAATAGTACTATAAACAACTGCAGTAATTAATAAAAACATGTATTACAACACATGGCAGAACTACACTGCAAAAATTATCTAGAAGTAACTTAAAATTTCTTAAATTAAGTGTATTCACCCTTATTTTGAGTAGGTAAATGAGATAGTTTGCCAATGGAATGAGTAATTTTATTCTTAAAATAAGATAATTAGATAATATGCACTTGAAATAAGACAATGCAATTGTGTTTTCTTATTTTAAGTGTAAATTGTCTTGTTCCATTGGCAAAATGTCTCTTTTACCTCCTCAATTCAAGAACAAATGCACTTATTTGAAGAAAAAATGACTTATCTAGATTTTTATCTTTTTGCAGTGTAGCTTTTGAATGATTAGATCCAGCAGCTTTAAGCCTAAATAGTCTCCCCAAAACCATGATCTCATCCTTAGTCAAAACCTGTAAACTATGCTATTAGACATTTGTCTTTTTCCCAATAATTGTCTGATATTTTATTTCTTACTAGGTTCAGATAGTTCAAATAAGCCCTAATCTGTCCACAGCCCTCAGCTTTTGTGGAGAGGGCGGCTAGTTTTACGTTCCTGCTCTAGCAAATTGTTTGCTAGATGGAGGTGTAACTCCATGGTGATTGTGAAAAAGGCCCTACTACACCTACTTACAATCCTCAGAAGACTCAATCTAAGACAGGATCTGCTGACTCTCTTTAAACTGAGCTCAACTCAGAGTCTGCAAACTTCCTGTATACACTCATCGGCCACTTTATTAGGTACCCCATGCTAGTAACGGGTTGGACCCCCTTTTGCCTTCAGAACTGACTCAATTTTTCGTGGCATAGATTCAACAAGGTGCTGGAAGCATTCCTCAGGGAGTTTGGTCCATATTGACATGATGGCATCACACAGTTGCCGCAGATTTGTCGGCTGCTCATCCATGATGCAAATCTCCCGTTCCACCACATCCCAAAGATGCTCTATTGGATTGAGATCTGGGGACTGTGGAGGCCATTTGAGTACAGTGAACTCATTGTCATGTTCAAGAAACCAGTCTGAGATGATTCCAGCTTTATGACATGGCGCATTATCCTGCTGAAAGTAGCCATCAGAAGTTGGGTACATTGTGGTCATAAAGGGATGGACATGGTCAGCAACAATACTCAGATAGGCTGTGGCGTTGCACATTTGAGTCACATATTTGAGTCACTGTTGCCCTTCTATCAGCTCGAACCAGTCTGGCCATTCTCCTCTGACCTCTGGCATCAACAAGGCATTTCCGCCCACAGAACTGCCGCTCACTGGATCTTTTTCGGACCATTCTCTGTAAACCCTAGAGATGGTTGTGCGTGAAAATCCCAGTAGATCAGCAGTTTCAGAAATACTCAGACCAGCCCTTCTGGCACCAACAATCATGCCACGTTCAAAGTCACTCAAATCACCTTTCTTCCCCATACTGATGCTCGGTTTGAACTGCAGGAGATTGTCTTGACCATGTCTACATGCCTAAATGCACTGAGTTGCCGCCATGCGATTGGCTGCTTAGAAGTTAAGTGTTAACGAGCAGTTGGACAGGTGTACCTAATAAAGTGGCCGGTGAGTGTATGTCTTCATGTTTCAAAAGATAATTAAAAAATTTGCAATATGGAAGGTCATCCACTCCAGCCAGAAGGTCATCAGTCACTCACATCTCTTCCATAGGAACCTCTTATGAACTCTTGACAGTTCCAAAAATTTTTAAATTGTAACTTCCTACATGATATGTTTTTTGGACCTCTGTGTTATTTTAAATATGTGTGGATTGTTGAAATGTAAAGCACTGTTAAACCTGTCAAGCCAATTCCTGTTTCTCAAATATATTACAGAGATATGATCATTTCTTCACAAAACAATATCTGGAAAACTGAAAACCCCAAAAGTAGGGTGACTTTTGTCTGAAACTGTAGAGTAAACAACACAGTAGCTCAGTGAGTTTGAATGATATATAGCTGTATGGCCAGTTTGAGTGTGTGAGTAATATAGTTACACCTTTTTTTTTCAACCTACATTTCAGAATACTCCTCATGGACGTTTGGCCATGAAAACACCAGCAGCCACTCCGCAGTCAACATTTCAACCAGCCATGGAGAAAATTTCACCATTTCCTTTTTACTGCGATCCCTCAAACCCAACGGTTTAATCCTGCAGTTCCGCCGAGAGGGAGAGTCCTATTTGACAATCTATCTCAAGGAAGGCACTGTTGCCATCTACAGTCCTCACACAACTCTTTTGTCAGAATCTAAGCAAGTCACTGATGGGAAGAATCATTTAGTGATGATACAGATTAACAATTCTCATGTGGTTTTCCCTAAAGCCGGGAATCATCGGGCCATAGGCAACATTAATATAGAAGCAGGAGATGTGGCCTTTGTTGGAGGGCTCCCTGCAGGCAAGAATACTAATGCATGGGGTGGAAACTTCAAGGGGTGCTTACAGGACATTCGACTGGATGACAAACAAATAAGTTTTGGTGATCATCCCAAGGATTTGGAAATTTACCAGTCAACCACAGAGAACGTGCATAAAGGATGTAACAGTGACAACACATGCAAGGTAAAGGAGATGTATAAAATTATTTATGTATATATATAGGTAATCCAAATTTTAATGACGTATTGTGAAACAGAAGTATTCACTATCCACAAAGTAAATTAACAAAAATAAAGTTTCAAAAGCTTTGGCTTATTTGTTTCTGTAGAAACCTATTTGCAATTATTTTGAGTAATGTATCAGTTTCAGGAAATTATATTGTTTTATCATTACAGGTGGTCTGATATGAAACTCTGAGCTGATAACAATATCTAATACTTATATTTCATCAATATAACTAATATATACAGGTAAAATAATGCACATTTAGATTTGTGAGATGATCAAAATTCATTCAGACTAAAAGTATGAAAACGGAATATTTGAATGTCTCACTAAATTTTTAAAAATTTAATATCCAGATGAGATTGCACAGCCAATTTAAAACACAAGTAACCAGTAGAGTCCCTTTAGCAACTGTAACAATTTGTAATTAATGGGAAGCTGTGGATCTCTTCAGCTATTTAAATGTCAATTTGTATCTCTGGCTGCTTTTCATATTTTTTTTACCTAACCCTAAATTAAACTTTGCGATGACTATCGCTGCAACTGCTCTATTGTGCTTCTTGGTGTTGGTCTTCAAACATGCTGTTTGTTCAATAATGTTCTCTAGCAAACCTCTTAGTCCTTCAGGGAAATCCTGTATCCATAATGAGATTAAATTACACACAGTTGGACTAGTTAGTAATAAGGTGACATTTGAAGCCTGTCAAACTCAAAAAGTGCATTTTGCAGAATTTAATTGCAAAAGATTTTTTTTTTATTAAATCCCCAGGAACTATTAATGGATCATTTTGTAGGATGTTTAAAGTTTAGCCGTTTGATTGTCTTTGAAAGAACCTCGATCTGCATGTTACTAATCCCCTGTGCAGCTTTCACTTAGGTGGGTTCATCAGGTAAGAGATTTTACACTTGATCATTTAATCCCTCAATCTGTGTTCTGTTCATAGGTTAACCCCTGTTTAAATAAGGGGAAATGCCAGGTCACTTGGAATGATTTCAAGTGCTTGTGCCCTGTGAACTTTTCTGGCCAGCTCTGTGAAACACGCCTGTGGTGCATTGACAAGCCCTGCTATGAAGGAGCAAGCTGTGTGGATCTGATGGATGGTTATGAATGTAAGAAGTAATGTTTGTTTGTCTTAAAAAGCTGATATTGCTCATTGTATTATAATTTACAAAGATCTTTGTTTTTTTATTCATTTTACAAAATCAGTTTTGTAATTACTGTAACTTGTTTTATCCCAATAGGTTTGACAGAAGCTGTTTTTCAAAACAACTCTATTCAGTATATTGCCAATGGCTCCCTTCTGAACCCTGTGACGAACATCACCATGGCCATACGGACACGGAACGAGAATGGGATCTTGTTGCGTTCTGAAGGCAGAGCACAAGTATTGTGTTTGGGCCTATTAAACTCCAGCCTACTGGTCAAACTGGACAGTGGGCCAGGTGAAGAACTACTGGCCTTTACCAGCGACAGGACCATCTCAGATGGTGCATGGCACCAGATCCACCTCAGTATGGTCAACCCTCTGTCTTCAGTGTCTCGTTGGCACCTCACTATTGATGGGCAGAGGACTGGTGTCAGCTTTGGAGTAAGCGGCAACTTGAACTTTCTGAATAACAGCAAGGTTTGGCTGGCCGAACGCTACATTGGATGTTTACAGGAAGTGAGAATAGGTGGCGTTTATCTGCCTCTAATAAAGGTACCAGACACACCACAGCGAAGCCGGTTCTCCAAGATAAGTGGCCTTGAACCAATCATTGGGTGCCAAGGTTCACCAGTTTGTGATGCCCAGCCCTGCCTTAACCAGGGTGTGTGTCATGACCAGTTTAATGAGTTTAACTGCAGCTGCGGCCCTGGATGGGAAGGGAGCTTGTGTGAGAAGGAGATAAACGAGTGCTCTTCAGCTCCCTGTGTCTACGGTTTATGCAAAGACCTCATGGCAGACTATCAGTGTGAATGTGAACCTGGATATAAAGGGAAAAATTGTCAGGATGAAGTGGATAATTGCCAGGAGTTCAGCTGCGTAAATGGAGGATTATGTGAACAAGTTGCTGGAACTTATACCTGCTCATGTCCTCCTGGGTACAAGGGCAAGCGTTGTCAGTAAGTATTCCCTATTAAGTAACTTTAATATAGTGACTCCTGCATGTGTTTTACTAACGACATACAGGGTTTGACAGTTTGAAAACATGATTTGGTGTTAACCAAATTCCCTCTCAAGGATATAAATCTAAAGCTATTAAAGGTCAACGCTCAGAATTTTCCACCTAAAGAGCATAAATCTACATTTTTGCATTTATTCAAGGTTTTGTTTAAGCTTACAGCTCATATCTTGATATCCAGGTATAAAAATAGCAAAATATATAAAAGTGTGTAAAATCTAATTTCCTGTGGAACAAACAAGGTATGTTAGAATTGAATGAAAGAAAAAGTATATAGATGGAGATACATGTTGTTAGCTTTTCTAGGTTTATTACAGACCGATGACATTGAGGGCTTGACATAAACAGCCATCAACTTGCTTTGGTGGGTATTAAAGCCGCTCCTAATAGCCTCCATTTATCTTATTCATTGTAGTCTTCTGAAACATCATCTGAAATAATAGGCTAATCTTAATACAACTTTGACATTTCATCTCCCATGAGCACCACCTGCGCACAGTGTTTGCCCATTGGTCTGTTCGCAACTGATGTCACTTCAAAAAGGTGGCCCCTGTGAGTAAATAATTTCTTAAGCTGTCACCGCACATTCAAACCCACTGTCTGCAGAGCGGGCAATTAAAAACTGATGATAGACCGAAGAAAGGCAGGATAGAAAAAATTTTGCCAGGTTAGCGACTTTTCAGACCCTCCTCTGACTTTTTTTAAAAGTTACTAGTGACAAATCTGGTGACTTTACAATGTGTTTTTGTAGACAGTTGACAACACATGTAAGCCCTGATTGCTCAGACTATAGCAATTTTCTTTACTGAGGAGTGACTGAGTGAGCCCCTCTCTCCCCTGAAGCACTGACAGGGAGTCCAACGCAGCTCTGCAGCCAACGCCTGCAGGCAGAGAGAGAGGAAGTTCTCCTTTGTTTCTGTTATTGAAAATGAGGTACACATGTTCAAAGCGTCCACAACACACCACTTAAAATAAAAAAAACAGATGTAAATAAAATATCAGTATTTTTTTAAATCTTGCTTTAAAGCTACACTATAATTTTCAACTGCTCAATCCCAACACTTTTCCACCTCCAACTATACTGTAGTACGAAATGGCTTACATAAAATCTGCATCACCTATCATGTCAAGTAAAGATGAAGTTTGTTTTCAAAGATCATACTATAAATAATATTCTATTAATCTGTTTTGGTATACATTTTATAAAGGTCTAACTTGCCACAGTCAAGTTTGAGGGTAATGGCGATCTCTAGAGTCACCTAGTTTGTCAGCTCTGCATATTCAATTCAATTCAGTTTATTTATATAGCACCAATTCACAACACATGTCATCTCAAGGCACTTTACAGTTCACCAGATAATCCAGTCAAATTGATTCAAAGTTTTCTATCTAAGGAAAACCAGTTGATTGCATCGACTCATTGACTCGAATGCAATACCTCACACTAAACATGCTTGTAGCGACAGTGGAGAGGAAAAACTCCCTTTTAACAGGAAAAAACCTAAAGCAGAACCAGGCTCAGTGTGAGCGGCCATCTGCCGAGGCCGACTGGGGTTCAAGGAGACAGAAGCAGAGATACAAAAAGCAGCTGTAAAAGGCGGCCCCGTCCAGGAAACACACAACCAGGCAGACGAGCTCCGAGCCAGCTCCCATATCAGAGGATGAAAGAGAGCACATCCAGCCAGTCACAGTCAGAGAAACAGGACTACATTGGAAAACAGGCAGATCTCCAACATCTATAAACAAGGATGTTGATGGCAGCAGCACAGCTGATACTTCTCTCCAGGATGACGTCACAGCCAAACAGGAACAGACGAGGCAAAGCTACTATGAGAAAAAGCAGAGAACATAACAGATTCTGCAGAGTGGGGAAATAGAGATAGAATGAAGCAGAATGATAAAATGGGGGTCCTCCAGAAGTCTAAACCTATAGCAGCATAACTATAGAGATAACTCAGGATAACCTGAGCCACTCTAACTATAAGCTTTATCAAAAAGGAAAGTTTTAAGCCTAGTCTTAAAAGTAGACAGAGGTTGATAACTAAAAGATCTACCTCCCATTCTACTTTTAGAAATTCCAGGACCAATGAGTAAACCTGCAGATTGAGAGCCAAGTGCTCTGTTAGGAATATAGGGAAGAATCAGATATCTGATATAAGATGGAGCTTGGCCATTTAAGGCTTTATATGTGAGAAGAAGGATTTTAAATTCTGTTCTCGATTCAACAGGAAGGCAATGAAGATAAGCTAGGATAGGAGAGATATGATCTCTCTCTTTTTCATTTTCATCATTTGCAGCATTTTGGATCAGCTGAAATCTTTTAAGTACAGTTTGTGGATTTCCTGATAGTAAGGAATTACAGTAGTCCAGCCTTGAAGTAACAAATTCATGGAGTAATTTCTCAGCAGCACCCTTTGACAGGACATTTCTAGTTTTTGCAATATTGACCAGATGAAAGAAGGAAATTCTAGAAACCTCTTTGATATGGGATTTAAAGCTACAGTGTGTAATAATTACAGGGATATGAAGTCAGAAATGGAATATATTATACATAACTATGTTATTTATCATCACCTATGAGCTCAGCCTTTTAACCATAATATTTGCGTTGCCTTAGAATTCGTTATTTATAATTACATAGGAGCGGGTCTCGCAGCCATGGAGGCAGACATCTTTGCGCTACGGCAAGCGCAGAGGCAACAAACTAGCAATTGCGAGATCGCCCATTACGCTTGAAAGTAACTATGGCAAGTTGAGAGAGATGAACTGAGACGGTACTGAACAGTAGATGGCAGTATTATGCCTGAGAAGCGTTTAGTCTGCCTGAAACCAAAGAAGAAGAAGAAGCAGGTATACGGCGCTTCAGTAACAACAAAGGTGAACAAGGCGGCAGGCGTGAGTGACTTTGCAAACTGTTTGGCACTGTGTGGCCAAACATCAGACGAATGGAGGATCATGCCTACTCTGTATCACAACGAAAAGCGGCAGACACCGAACCCCCGTCATCTAAGAAGCGGAAACACGACGAGAATAAACACAAGTGTGACAAGAAACGGCAAAAAACACGGATCAACATTGGCACGGCATTTCCACGATGGAAGTCACTGATGGAGAAAAAAGGTTTTCAAAGTGACGCTCAAATCGCCAGTTTTCTGTTGGACAGGTAATTAATCCTACACACACAATTGTCTTTTTATACACGTAATACCCCACCCCCACATCCCGTTTCAACCAAACTATTGTCAAGATGTCTGGTAGCATTACCTAGATAAGGCCACAGCTTCATAAAATTACCACAGCTGAAAGTGGCGTGTGTGAGTGTGAGAGAGACAGATATATGAAGCTGCATATCAGCGAGCTACGGATATATACCTCGGTTACTTCTCTCCGGCTCCTTTGGAGATCTTCAAGCCTTTCCCCCTCTGCTCTAGTCACCCCGCTGGCACCTCTCCCTCGCCTGGCCCTGGCTGCACGCCCAACCTGGCCCTCTTCCTCGCCCTCTTCCTCGCCTTGTAATCCCCGTGCCACAAACAAGACTTGGACTCTGTAAACAGGGAATATATATTCTTCCAGCGAACACAATCTCGCTGTTAAACTAATGACTACAATTACTTCGTCTGTTTATATCACCATGCAAAGCAGCTCACCAAAACGTCACAACGATGTAGAAAAAATAACGGGTATATTTATTATCTTAAGTCTACATGAAATCTATACCCTACACAGACTAATGAAATACTATCTGTAAAATTATCTATGTAAACAAACCTCATCACTTGAGAAGGTAGGTGATGCGGACGTCGTGGCAGACATTTTGTCCCGTAACACTCACCGTACTGTTGGGGGGAGAAGCGGTGGGGGGGAGATGTTCATGTTGCTGCAGTCTGACCGCTAGATGTCGCTGAAAATTACACACTGTAGCTTTAACTGACAGGTCCTGATCAAAAATAACACCAAGATTTTTTTACTTTATAATCTGAAATCAGTTTAATCCCATGCAAATGAATGAATGCAAATGACTGACTAATCAGCTTCTTTTTCAAAGAATCTGGTCCAAAGACTAAACCACACTCTCCTGGGCTTTATTCAGTCCCCCACAGCCTTTTCAATGTTTCTTGTCTGATTTATTACCTGAACAACATTTAAGCCACTGAGTCATGATAAACTGTATTCCTTCAAGCCCTAACATGATTCAAACGTGTGCTAGACTTTCTTATGCATATATTTGTGAAGCCAGCATCTGCAGTATATGCTCATAATATTTGTGTTTTAAAATGTGGTTGATGCTGTGTGCCATATACAGTATGTTCTAATTAGAATTAATCTTGTAAGGCTCATGAGACTATACAAAGGAGTATTTTGCTTACTTTCAGTAAAAACAGTCCTGGGTTTAATTTACTAGTCAGGACATCAATGTGGAGTTTGCTGCATAGTTCCTCTGGGTTCCTATTACAAGTAAAAACATATATGTAAGTGCAATAATGAGCCACTCTTAGTCCACCTTAAATATGAATTGGTGTGACCATGGACAGTCTGTGATGGACTAATGACCTGTTTATTTTGTGCAAAAGAATGTATTTTTTAATTATTTTCTGATATTATCTAAATCATTTGTCAGTAATGAAAAAAGGCCAAGTATCATGGCAAATACATTTTGTGTTTTTAATAGATGGCGTTTCCCGCCAGTAGCTTGTGATGCATTCATGGATTGCCTTAATGGTGGGGTTTGCATAGGAGGCAACTGCACCTGCAAACCTGGATACACTGGTGAAAGGTAGGACCTTGATACCATACTGTAAATGGTACTGTAAACTTTATGCACTTAGCAAGGTGTATCTGTTTAAAATTGTGTGTGGGTATTTGTTTACAAAAGCCTGTTGGTCAGTGTTTTACTAAAACCTTCTGATGTGTTTCAGGTGTGAGATGGAAATAGATGAGTGTGAATCCAGTCCCTGTCAAAATGGAGCCACCTGTCTAGACCAGCTCAACCACTTTCAGTGTGTGTGTGTCACAGGCTTCAGTGGTAAATTGTGTGATAACAAAGTAAGTTGAACACATTTTTCAAATTGTGGCATAAGTTCAGAACATAGCATCCAGTATTCAGGGCCAGACAGATAACTCAAAGCGTTTATTAAAAAATACAGATTGGGCTGTGGATCTGGGGTATCTGTGGTTAGGGCAGGGCACCGCCCATCACTGGACTCTGGTTTAGCAGTTCAGTCCATATCCATAGAACGGGGTAGGATCTAGCCAGTACTGCCAAGGAGATGCGGCAGGCGCCAGCCAGAGTGTCCCAGATGCTTCAGCCCCGGAGAACATGCAGGATTCTGAGCCAGATCAGAGAAAACAAAACTCAAAACAGAACAATAGGTGAATTTTGTACTGGCAGCCTGTTGATACACACCAAGGGCCATTATATTTACCAGAAAAATAATTTAATATATCTCAAATTAAGCTAATACTAGGTTCAGAAGTTATGCAGTTTTGCTTTAAATCTTTTTTTGAGCAGGAACACCTTGCTTAACTCCTTAGGTATTGTTGTTTGTATAGAGCACAGTCCATGACAATTGGAATTTTTAAGGAAATAGTACAAAATGTCTTAAGATAAATTTGTATTATCAGAAAACAGCTTATTTTAGCATTATATGTGTAATGATGGAGTTGGAAAAGGGAAGAAACAAATGGTCAGAATAATGTTGTATGCCTTGTGTTGGGAAACCACAAAACAATAAATTTAAATAAAGCATTTGGGAGATCATAGAAATTTGCAAACAATCTAATACTAGCCAAAAAAATAAAAATAAAAATTACTAATCCCTGCAGTAAAAGATACAGTTTGGATAGAATCTTCCTATGTCAACACCATATTTTTGTCATTAAAAAGACCAGAAATATCACCTAGTGAAGGAACAAAATAATGATAAAAAAAAATAAATAAATGAATATCTATCTTGTGCAACAGTAAACTGTTTTCAATAGAGTTGTACTTGCTGTACCAGGTAAGACATTGATTTCTCATGTAAACAAAAGAACAACAGGCACCACATAGTTGATAATATCTACTCTAACTGCATAAAGATGTTTTCTTGTCATGCCTAACTTAGCCCTCCTCCAGACATATGTATTCATATATATACGTATATACTCAGTCATAGGTAAGACACAGAACACAGAGCCTAAGTTGAAATTCAGTTTAAAAGTAAATAATATCCCATGCTCTTTTTTCAGAAAGGGGAGCATAAGGAGCGAGTTCCCTGGCTGGCAGTGACCATCCCCCTGACAACCCTGTGTGTGCTGCTAGCCATTGTGACAGTTTTTTTCATGATCATGACAGCACGAAAGAAGAGGCAGTCAGAGGGCACATACAGTCCCAGCTCTCAGGAGGTAGCCGGCGCAAGGTTGGAAATGGGAAGCGTGCTCAAAGTACCACCCGAGGAGAGGCTGATCTAAATTCTGAAGTTGCCTTCTCAGAATCTTGCATCCAAAGGATGCATATAATGCCAGAGCAAATATATATATGGCAAAATCATACTGATTGCTCTACAAACTCAGAAGAAACAGTAGGGAAGTCAGCTGCCTGGAACAGCTGCTGATGCTGGATACAAATGAATTCATTTTTGCTTCTTTCTTGTGATGATATAAAAAGGAAATGACGGTTTGTGAAACAAAAAGAATCTCAATGATTGTTGCATAATTCTGTGAGGAAATTTGCACAAGTCTTTTACACTGTGACAAGTACTGTCAACCCTTTGGCAGCGGGAATGATTTTTAAACCATTGAATTCAGTATTTTTGTACCTGATCAACTTGTCCTACTTTTCTTTGACAAATAATGTGTTCATATGAGTAAGAAAAACATACCACAAACCATTTGAATGTATTTAGAGTTTATTTAGTAGAACTGTCTCTAAATGTTAATCTATTTGGGCTTTCAAAGACATTCTTACTGCTGTATATAGGATGTCCTGATCAGGATTTCTTTTTTTCTGTTACTTATTACAGAATAGGCATTTCATAATATTTACTCCTCAATTGTTTTTTAATAGAAGTAGAAAAAAAATGACCACAGTGAATACCTAAATATATTTCCTTAAAATTACATTAAAATCTCAGATTAAGAAGTTGTAGAAAACTGCTCTGTTATTCTAAGAAACATCTCCCAGAAAATGTTCCAATAATCTGACTGGACACATAGTTGTAGTTTCCTTTGAACACGTGTTGCTCTTTTTGCCTTTGTTTTGAGTGAACCATTTTTTTTCTGTAGCACTAGGCAGCATGTTTACTCACTTTTTTAATATGACTCTAAATTCTCCTTATAAATAATTAAATTATGGTTCCAGTAAGAGCACAGAAAACAGAAATCGCTGTTCTCTTGCTTTAGAGACTTAATGTTTAAATAATTTAGGTAAAACAAAAATGTCTTTCTCCAACACTAAACAGGCAGTTTGCAATGATAAATATTTAGCATGAACAATGTGGTCAGCATCAAACTGAGTGTTTAGTGGGCACAAACACAGAACTCCATCAGGCTCCTAAAGACAAATCAGATTGGGGCATCTTCAGCTGTATCCCTTTCTTTGTGTACACTGTATGAATGAACAGGGTGACCCTGCCATCTAGATTTCTACCTGTATTTGACTTTGTGATTGTCCTCATATGTGTGTCTTGTACTGCATGTGTATGTACTGTATGCTACAAAGGTTGAAGTCACTGTATCCTCCATATTCCCAATGGTATATTTAGACAATTTTATTTAAAAAAATGTGACTGTTGCGGCTAATGTGTCAGAAAAAGGTCAAAATGTGGATGTTTTAAATTTTGTAAAGAACATCTGCTTGATGTCTGATGTATGTAAGAACATCTGCTTGATGTATAGGTGAATCATGAATATTCACTTTTTGTGTTTGACAATTTAACGGGCATACTTTATTTATGAAGGCGTTTTAACTCTAAAACTACTAACATGGGGTGTCCAGAGGAAAAATAGTCATGCATCTGTGGTTCAGCAGAGATAAACACTAATTTCAAAAGGCTTGATTTGTTAGATATATCCAATTTCTAGAATAACCAATGAGGTGCAGTGATGTAGCATTTAACTAAACCGCACAAATACAGATTTTAATACAAAAATGTATGGTTGATAGCTCGTGGAGCTTGAAGAGCTTTATTTAAAGCATCTCAGTAAAAAAAAACATCTCCTTTTTTGAAGAACTGGAAAGCCCACTTTGCCTGACAAGAATGTGCATAGAAAACTGTTAGAAGAACCTGTGATCTAGCAAAACACCTATCCATCCATCCATCCATCCATCCATGCATCCATCCATCTTCTCACACTTAACTTGTGTGCGGCTGGCACCTATCTCCCTCAGTCTATGCACAAAAGTAAGGACTTGGACCGGTTGCTAGTCCTTCATGGAGTAACACATAGACACACAACCATGCATACACACACTCACACCTAAGGAAAATGTAGAGATGCCAGTTAACCTAACACTCATATTTTTGGACTGTGGGAGGAAGCCGGAGTATCCGGAGAAAACCCACGCATGAAAGAACATTCAAACTCCATTTGGAAAGACCCTGGTCGGACAATAAAACAAACAGTTGTTTTAGATGCTGAGAGCCTGTTAAAGGGTGAGCTCTTGTGTCAAACTCGAAGCAAACTTACTGCTCCAAGTACTTACCTACTGCGCTCATTTATACTTTGCTGAAAAACTAGCAACCAATTTCTTTATTATGATTTCTCTTAATTATTTCACACTAAATGTATTAGCACAAAAATGTGTGAATTAGCACAACAAATAAGTTAAATGTTATGTCAGTTAGTTGGTAGTGCAGGGTTATGTTTTGATAAAATCAGAATTAGTCCGCAAATTTGACACCACTACTGTATACTTGCCTGTACCCAGAGAAGCACTACTTGCCTTTTATTCTAGTTTCATCTGTGCTGTCGGTTTCCCAAATTCACGGTCTGTAAATTTTACAGAAAACATTCCACATCGCCCCGAAAATCGCACAGTGTACGCCCGGCTTTAGTTTTAAGTATTTCATGTAAATCATGTCTTAAGGGTAACAAGATAAAACCGCATATACGAGTAGTTTAAAGTGAATGCTTTTAAATCCTTCCTTTTCCCCCTTAAATTATGCAGTTGTGGTCTCTATGAAGTGGAACTGCAATACTCTGGTCTGAATTCTTTGTCTTTGTAACTTCACAGGTTCCTACTTTACCACTGTTCGGAGAGTACCTCATTCTGGTGCAGCTTCTTAAAATAGTCAGTCCCCCCTAAGTATTGATCTCCACCATGTTGGTGATTGTTTTACCCCATTGGTGATTGTTTTAGTTTGATAGTAGACTATCAAATGGAAGACTTTCTCACAGCCTTGAACCTTTCTGGTCAGATGACAAAAACCGAAGACTCTTTCCTATTTTTTTTCAAAAAAAATTGTCATTACACTGTCTCAAGTACAGAGCAACAATCTCTATGCATTTAAACCATCCCCGGCCTGCCGTTGTGCGGCGCCCAGGGAGCAGTGTAGACTTGCTCAGGGACCCAGAGTGGCAGTCCTTGGGAGTGGAAACCTCAAGATTCCAAGCTGGGGATTTCCACACAACTCCTGACAGACTGAATTCAACTTTTATAGACTCCTATAGGATATAAGTACATTGAAAAAATATTTAGGAGCTAAAATTCCACAGACAGCCTCAGCAGATGGTCACTCACTCTGAGCCCTGTTCTGCTGCAGGTTTTTCCTGCAGCAGATTTCTTCCTGTTTAAAGTGAGTATTATTTTTCATTGGTGCTCCAAGCTTGTCTGCTGTTATGGATAGCTGTTGAGTCAACGAGTCAATGCAATCAGCTGGTTTTCCTCAGAAAACTTTAACTAATCTGACTGTACGATTTGGTTGAATTGTCTCTGTTAAGTGCCTCGAGATGACGTGTTGTGATTTGGAGCTTTATAAATAAACTGAATTGAATTAATGTGGATTTTTGCACATGTCAACTTAAAGTACAGGCTAGTTAGGAAAAAAAAGCGAAATCTGAGACCTAAAGGACGAAAAGATTATGTATTTTCTTCATTCTTTGGCTCCTCTTCAAGGATGTACATGGCAAAAAGTCTGACATGTACAAAAACATCATCTGATATATTCTTTGTGAATATTGTAAATTAATGTCTAGTCAGTTCAAGCTATGTTTTGCTATCTTCTTCCTGTCAAAACCCATTCTATCTTTAACATTCAAACACAAATACAATCTGAAAGAAAGCCCTGGATAAAGAATAAAGAGAATAAAGAGCAACAAATGTATGTTATCTTAAGTGTTATGACACTGGTACGTTATTTATTGCTGACATAACTTTGCTTTATTATTTTGTAGAATTGCATGACCGTAGGCAAGATAATTTTATCTAATCCAGTTGATATTGGCATTGAGTATTCTATATCAAAGGGTTAAAAGAACCATTTGAAAATGGTAATTCCAAAGTTATGTGAATGGTGCAACACTAATATGTGCCTTGATGTTCTCCTGAATCCAAGGAAAAATGTTATATTGGTCCTCTTCAGATGTGATTGAGACATATCCAGACTGCTAAGGAGAAATATTTGGGAGACCACTAACTGTGGAAGGTTTAGTGCTTCCCCAATCTTACATCTTTAGCTGATTAAATACATAAAAGTCATGTATAGTGTACTAAATCATTTTGATTAAAACTGCAGTATGCTCAGGATTAGTAAACAGAAACTCAATGAAACTTTTCCAATTTGTTTCACTGTTAAACCAAAACAATTATTTCCCTCATTGACTTAAACCCATTTTGAGTTTAGAAGCTTCTAAGTGTCAAAAATTATTTTTTCTCAATTTCTTTGGTTGGAGTCTCTTAATTTGATGTCCTTCTGAAAAACAGCTCTTACTGTACATCAACTAAAGCTTTCTATGTAAAGAAGGGGTGTGTTTGAGACCATAGATGTCTATTTTTAACGTCTGTTGTTTGTATTTCTGTAAACATATGGATCTTAGTGTATTTTTTTGTTTGTTTTTTATTGTTCAAGTGAAAAAATAAAATAGAGTAAATTCAACAATCAGGTGTGCAAAAGTTTTCTGAAGGTTAATTATGTGTTTCAAACACAATAAATATTATTGATTAAGGAAAAATGTCAAACATGTTTGAGCCATTCAAAGAGCATAGTTCTTACAGACTTTGTGCACTCTGTTGGCTAGAGAAAGCGCTCCCAGCTGAGGCTACGCTATGTAGCGACCAATATCCCTCCAGAGAAGTCTGTGTTCACTGGACAGAGTCAGACTGCCTTTTTCCTGCGATTCAGAAGAAGCTGAACACAGCGTTTTATCCATCCTGCGATTCAAACCGAGTGAACGCCGTGTGTCCTGAATCCTGCTGCAGCAGAGACAGAGAAGAGCTAATCCAGCTCTGCAAACCGCCGAACAACAGGGGCCCGATCATTGTTTGCTGAAAGAAGCAACTAGAACGGATTGTGACCGCCTGAGAGACGGAGCAGCGCCGCAGAAGTGCTACAGGCTGCGGCTAACCGCCGTAGCTAAAGGGCTAGACATCCTGCATGCTACCATGAGTTATAAAATTAACCTCCTTGCAAATTGCCTCTTATTGTTGCATTGGATTAATCCAAATCTCTTTGAGTTGCTGTTGGACGAACGGACTGAACTGAAGATGGGCCTGCTGAGAACCGGACCCCGAGCCGTAGGCCACCCATTCCATGGATGCTTAATAACTAATAAGTGCTCTGCTTGGGTGAACTATAGGTAGATAGAGTAGTCGTGTTGGTGTTTTATGTGAAATAAGCTTTCTGATTCAACTGAATCAGAAAGCTTATTTCAGCTTATTTTTTATTTCAGCTTATTTTTAGATTTTATCTGCTGCTATTATAAAGGACACTTTTAAATGCATTAAGCCTTAAACTTCGAAATCTTAGTCCAAAATAAGATTGATCATATTAAAAAATAGATCATTAGCACTCCTCTAACTGTGATTGGTTTATCTTTGGAAGGTGAGGCAGCATCTTAGGTAGCCGTAGAATCTGAAACGTCACCAATCTGATGAAAAAGGAAATGACACTATACTGGTCATTAAAGATTCAATATTTATCTTGCACATTTAGAAAATATATATCAATATATTTCGAAATATTGTAATTGTATAATTAAATTTAAATTAGGTTTTTTTATGTCTGAAATGAAGAACTTAATCAAGGACATTGGGCCCTAGCGCCCTCTTTTGGCCAGCCGCCACTGCTCTGCTCTCCCGATGTGATTCCATAGTTCCAGAGGGTGACATGGATGGCAGCCTGGTCCTTGTTCTGTTTTTTTCTCTGCTGGTTTTCTCACACTGATTTCCCGCTTTCCCTTTCTGAGCTCCAGAAAGCTGTCTTACCTAATCATCTGTTGTCCTGGTGATTCAACCCCCAGTGGAAGACAGCAGAAGCCCATTTTGGGTGTTTGACAGGCTGAAGTACCACTGAAAGCGTCCGTCATTCAGACCTATACTCTGAAAGAGGTGGTGGTATACCCATACACATTCGCAAACTGGGAACCTCCAGCACAGATAGCTTTTTCAGCTTTCCAATATTAAAAAAACCCCACTGCCAGTCATTTTGTAAATCCATGTTCGCATTGATGAGGTGAAACCCGCAACGAGGCCAGGCCAGGCAAACATCAAGATGAGCAAAAGCAGACAGAAAGTTTTGCATGTTACACATTTGGTTCGAGCAAAACTTGAAAGGTTTGAAAGCCTTTCTTTAAAGTCAGTTTAAGTTAAGTTTGTGCACTTCTGTTTCACCCAACTGGATATTTTCTTTTCTGTCGCTTTGCTTCCAACGCTTTGCTGATACTCAGCTTTTCCAAACACTGCTTAAGCTGTTGAAGCTTTTCTGTGCATTACTGTTGCGTTGTGTACAGTGTGCCCAAATAATGTATTCAAATTTTAAAGAATTACAGTGTGTATGGTAATTGAAACACTAATAATTCCTTGTGAAACAAAATTTACATACAAAAGTTCTAATTTTACTCACAAAATATACAGACAAAATGTGATTTTTGTCCCATTTCTCATTCATTATGGTCCAGGCACTGCTGACAACAGCACTCTCTCAAACAATAATCTTAGAATTTCAGTGGCTTGCTAGGGGTATTTCGACAATAACATTAAGTAATGAGCCTGGCTAATCCTGCAGGGACTGGTAAACCTGCTAATAGATAGGCCAGGGGTGTCATTCTGGTAAGAAAACAAGGACTTCAGCCTGTTCTGTTAGATGGTTTAACACTACTTCAGGTTGTCCTGGTTTGCTATCAAGACCTTTCAATTCAAGGTATAGTAAACTATAGTTAACTATAAGCTTAGATGAGATCTGTAAATTCTGTGACTAAAATACAGACATACGAATAACATCTGACCTTTTTTTTTAAAATGTAAATATATCTGTGGCACAATGTATACTGTACCCTATATGCTTCACAGACCTTGCTGCTAACATAGATGCACAGAAATACTAGAGGGCTGATGCATAGAGATAATACTAACACCATTACATCCCAATAAGGGCTTTTATTGTGCAATGAGATTTGTAGGATAGTGTATGTACATCTCAATTTGAATGACAGGAGAGGATGGGGTTTGGCATTTTAGCTCTGTACAGTCCACAATTATCTGAGTGTCAGAAAAGTCCTTGAAGTCATCAGGAAGGTAAGCCTTTACATCCTCAGCCTCCATCCAGATGGATGCTGAGCCCAAGAGGGTGTACAGGAAGTTGCTCCAGGAACAGATAATGTGACTTACAGTGGAGGTGGAAATGAGGAATCTGTTTGCCAAGTCCAGCTCTGCTCTGTGTAACCAGCAGACAGGTACATCAGGAATAGGAAGAATTCATCAATGGGTTGCAATGACTCTCTGTGAAGAAAAAAAATTAACGGAACAATATTTACACTAAAAACAAAATGGGATGTAATGGGTGTGAGTAGTAATTGACAATGTGTCTGCACTAAAATACAATGTCATGTGTATGCTTTTGTCCCCTGACTGATTTTTTACTTATTGGCACACTTAAAATTTTCAGATCACCAAACAGATGTAAACATTAAACAAGAATGGCCCAAGCAGACATAAAATGCAGTTTCTCAGTAATTATTTTATTTGTTAAGAGAATAATGCCATAAAACCCACATGTGCCTCTGTGAAAAAGTAATTTATTTAATTAATGTTTACATCTTGTCATGATGGGTATTAGTGCTAGCCCAAGATGCAGAAACACACACGGAGAAACTGGGAAAAAGTCCAAAAGAGTTTATTGTGGCACAAACATGAGTAATGGGAAGGGAACAGTTCAGGCAGGAGGCTGATTCACTGGGGTCTGTGCAGGGAACGGGGAATGACTGGATAACTGAGATCATGAGGGGCTAAGCCTCTAGCTGTATGCTTAGCTAGGCTAGCTAGGATCTGAGCTTCCACGCAGAGAACAACTGGGAAAACACGGAGGGTCTTTCAGGCTGAGCTTCCAGCTCAACGTAGGGAACTACAGGGGAAATCCACATGGGAACCTCTAGGGAAACTCCTCAGAGAAGTCGTCTGGTTTCATCCACGTAGGGATCTGTGGGTTGGCTCACCAGCGCAGTTTAGCAGTTTGGGCTTCCCAAGAGCTTCTGGCTTGAGACTGGTTTCCTGTGACGCAGCTCTCCCAGAGCTGCGGGTCAGAGACAGGGTTCCAGTGAGGGTGCTCTCCCTAAGCTTCAACAGGAGAAAGGAGGTTAAGCTCCACCAGGAGCCAGGAGGTTAAGCTCATCCAGAGCTTTCACGAGAAGACTGGAGGTTAAGCTCATCCAGAGCTTTCACGAAGAAACAGGAGGTTAAGCTCATCCAGAGCTTTCACGAAGAAACAGGAGGTTAAGCTCATCCAGAGCTTTCACGAGGGGACAGGATTCCAACTAAGATCAACACTGCGGCGTGGGATCAAGGTCAGGCAGGAGCTTATAAAGGAGAGGTCTTCTAATGAGAGGATTAGGAACAGGTGTGCAGGAAAGTTCCAGCTCCAGAAGACCCACAGCGCATCCTGCTGGAGACAGAGGGTAATCTCCAAATCCCCACAGTAACTCCAAACCTAAGAGAAAAACAAAGAGAGGATCCTCGGCGCCCTCTGGTGGGCAAGCCTGAGGATCCCAACACATCTTTGGTTATCTGAAAATGTTAAGTGTACCAAATGTGCAAAAAAAAAAAAAAAAAAAAATCATTAGGTGGCAAAAAGATACACAAGGCACTGTGAATACATAATGCAACTGGTCTCCCATTATAACATGGCTACAAATTGAAGAGCATTTAATTATTAAACGAATGTCAGCAATAATAAGATAAACAACACAATTGCATACCATGTGTGGTGGACGGACAGATGTTAGTTCTTCATTCATCCTCTCAGCGGATTTGGCTCTGGATGCACAAACCATTTTATGCACAGATGGTTCAATCATTTCCCAAAAAAGCATGAACTTGCGATAATTTGGAAATAAACAAAAGGAAAGCATAAAATTTACAAAAGGTTCCTATTTGATGACAAACTCATATTATACTAATGGACGGCTATTTGTTTACCTTGTGTACAGTCGGATGTTGGCGTCAGATTGGATGAATCTTTCAAACACAAATGTATGGCTTATCTTCAATTCATTATTTTTTTTCAAGGCTTAGGTTTTCTCTTCAATTTCTTGATCCTTTCGAGGGCCATATCCAGGATTGCTGCTTCTGGTGCTTTAGGGTAGTCGTGATCATCAAGTGTGTGTGTGCAGTCCATTGCTTGCTCTTCATCTGACGGCTCTGGTGTTGTCTCTGGCGTGTTTACCTGCACTTTCTCCCAAACACTCAACCTCGGGGGTGGAGTCATAAAATTTTTCCACTTAAACAGTACTGGGACAGCTCCTTTCTGTAATCGCCTTTTCCCTAACTCTGTTTTTGGTAGAATTGTTTGCTCCTTTAAGAACTGTAGAACACCTTTGTATGGGGCGTGGGGACAAACTGTTCGCAGTGAATATTGACTAGCCATCTCTTTCTGAGCTCTAAATC